GCGCTCGCCGTGTCGCTGCCGGGGCGGCCCGCGGCGCCGCCGCCTGCGCCCGCCGCCCGCCCTGCTTGTCGCGGCTGTCAGGAAGGGCAGCAGCAGGGGTGACGTGCGGCGGGAGCGCCGCGCGGGGCCGCTCCGGGGCCCGCCCCCGAGGAGTCCGCGTTTGTTTGTGCGCTTCGTGCGCAGCGTGTTTGCTTCGCTCAGCTGCGTTGGGAGGGCGACGGGAGATGGTTTGGATGGAAAACTTCGATTTTTTTTTGTTTGGTTTTGGTAAGAAAGTCTTTAAGAACCAGGTGGGTTCGGTGGCAGCACGTGGCGGCCCCACGTGCGTGTCCCGAGCGCCTGTGAGAGCAGCCGGAGCGGCCGCGTGCGCTGCCCGGTGCGCGAGGCAGGGACCCCGAGCCCCGCACCCCGAGCCCCGCACCCCGAGCCCCGCACCCCGAGCCCCGCACCCCGAGCCCCGCACCCCGAGCCCCCAGCCCCTCATCCCGGCCACTTGCGCGGCACCTTGGCCAGCCCGCGGCTCGCTTAGCCGTGGGCTCGTCCTGGGAGATGGCAGCGAAATCCCGCGGCTTCCCCATGCCCTCTGCTGACTCCCGTTGCGGGAACACTCACGAGTTTATGCCTGGCGGTGGCAGGGAGACGCTGTGCGGGGCCCAGGGTGACTGAGGGCGCAAGCACACGGAGTCAGGAGGCCCTTGTGTGCGTGAAGCGCGGGTCGGCATTGCCTGCCGCTGCGGGTCGGCATCGCCGCCGTGCCTGTGACGCCTGGCCCCGCACCGCAGGGCGGCTCTGGCTGTGCGGGACCCACGGGCTGGGCTGCTCCGGCGGGGACGCAGCGCACGGGGCACGGCGGCTCCGGAGATGGTTCAAACCATCCATCGGCACCTGCCGTCAGAACTGCTGGGCAGCCAGTGACACGAGAGCGTCTGCTCCTCCCAACAGAAGCAGCCGTGAGGACGCTGTGTTCAGCGTGTAAAATGCACGTGGATGTACAAATAAGTGTGTATCCTGGACGCAAGGACATGTGCTTGCACTGGGCATTGTGAGGAAGGAGAGAAGCAGAGAGGCTGGATGGTGGTGAAGCAGTGGCTGGGCTTGAGTAATGTTGAGCTGCTTTTTTTAAATTTATTTGTCACTATTCCTCCTCAGTGATAGCAATGGGTGACAGTCTGAGAGGCCCTGCTTGGTATGAGAGCATCCACGAGAGTGAGGGTCTTTTTTCCATTTGTGTGTCACATGAGAAATGATTGAGCCCTTCCATTTGCATCCCTGCGAGATGTCTGGGTGGCACATGTTGGATCGCAGTGCACATGGCTTGTGGAAAACCTTTTCATCTTTCAAGTGCTACTTAAAACAATCTTACAAACAAAGGGCAATTGTTAGTAAAAGCATTGCAGCACATTCAGCCTTTGGAGAGGCTCGGCCTCCAGTGTTCAGGTCTTCATCTGCAGCTGAGGGGCTGGATATGTATGTATCATCTCATGCGGCAGTGGGTGGGAGGGAGCCGTGCGTGCGGACGTAGTGCGCTGCCTTCTTGGTTGTCTGAGTTTGCTCCTTCTGCGTGGACGCGCCGGCCTGTCAGCTTCACGTCTTTTAGAGGAGCCGTTCGTGGTAAGTGCGCTGAGCACCTACAAACCGGCACGTGGAGGGGAGGCCCCGGCATGACGATGCTTTTCAGGAGGACGGGTTTCCCTGCAGACCCCATCAGACCCCATCAGCGGCAAGAGGAGAATTATTTAAAAATCAAAGATTTGATCTTCTTTGGAAGTACAGCTGTGTCTGTGCAGCCTATCTTAATTGCATCAGTCTTTTCTTCTTGCCGTTATAGCACTTCAAAAATAGATCAGTTTCAGTTCATTTAACAATATCTGAAATCTTTTTTTTTTCTTAAGTGTCAAATCCTTAAAAGTAAACATGCCAAGTTTGGTGCGGAATAGCCTTGTATACAAGGAAATCATCCATTTTAACAGGGCTACACAGTTGTTTTAGTTGGAAACTTACTTTCTGTCTTATGTACGTACTGAAACAAGAGTTCAGGGTTCTGTGTTTTCACAGTAGTTGCTGCTACCACCATCTCCTGAAATTGCATTTTCTGTATTGTTTTAGGTGGTGGTGATGTCAAAACATGGACACTTGAACTCAGATCTTGGTCGGTAATTTAAAGATGAGCAGGTATGAAATGCTAAACTGTGCATATATAAACATATACACACATATATACACATATGGAAAAAGAAAGAAACACTACTAGTAATACCTGTTGTATAGCTTTTACAGTTGCTTTTTTTTTTTTTGTCTTTCAAGGGAAACAGCTCACGAACATTTAATCAGATCCCTTGGACAGGTTTTGTTCACTACTGCAATGTGTGTTAATTGCAGTGTCTGCAGAAACAGCAATTCCTGTTTTTGTTTCGCATTGCCTTCCTTGCACTGCTGTGCTCACTAGTGATGGATTTGAGATTGAAACTGAGGCAATAAATTGGGGTTTTAAAATAAGATTAATGTAAGAAAGACGTTTGTTAGGATCTCCTCCCTTGATGTGCAGATGGCATTGCTGTTCTGCTCTCAGCTCGGAGGTAGCTGCTCTTCCCCTTAGTTCTTGGAGCAAACCTCAGGATTGCAGGGGGAGCGGTCCTGGACGTGATGCTTGCTTTCCATCTTGGAACACACTGTCCTTTCTGCGTAGGTATAAGAACTGGAAAACTACTTTGTGTGTGGCTGCACGGAGCAGAGTTGGCTTCATCCTTCTTACACAGAGGCTACAGGGCCAAATACAGCTCTCGTGCCTGTTAAGATTCAGATACGATAAAGAAAAACTCCAGTGCTTTGTACAAAAACATGTCACCTAGGAAACAAATTCCTGAGGCTGTTTAAAATACCCCATCCCGTGTGATGGTGAAAGCCGTTTCCCTTTAGCTGTGTGAAGCCACACGCGGGCAGCGGAGGGCTGGACTGCAGGAAGGAGTGGGCAGCAGGAGAGGCCCTTGTCCCGTGTCCGAGCACTGGCTGTTCTGGTGTTGGAAAGCAGGAATTAGTTCTGCACACTGCAAGCACGTTGTGGGCGGCCCAGAAGGACTGCAAATAGGTGTTACTGGTACAGTGGATAGACACCTTGACAAATGGATATAAAACACCATAGCTTTTAACAAGGAAATAAGTCATCTCTTTTTACTTATGTCAGGGTTGTCAGTGTTAATCTCTTTTTTTATTATATTAATTTTTGCTTAGCACTGCACAGATTTTTCCAGTTTCAGTGGCACAAGGAGCAATGAATTCCCAGGGGTTGGTAGGAGGCTCGGTAGAAGTGTGCAGCCATTGTGGCTGCCCTTGTGCTCCCAGCGCGATGTGGTTGTAGCCGCCCGGTTTCTGCGTCCAGCTGGGCTCGGTGCTGCAGCAGCAGAGCTGGCACAGCCGTGCCCAGCGATGCTGCCCAAATTCACCTCCCGATGCCTGCGGCGGTGCCGTCCTCCTGTGGTGTGGCAGCCGCAGTGGGCAGGGGATCCCTGTCCACATTCCGTGTGCCCTCGCTCAGGGCGGCACTGGGCTTCCTGACGGCAGCCACTGGGGCCCTGCCCTTGGGCGCTGAGTGTGTTAGTACTGCTCAAAGGCTGCTGCCCCGGTGCCGCTGAGGCCGCCTGGTGCCCTCGGGAGCCGTGGCCCGTCACAGCGCGGCCCTCCCGCCAGCCCTGGCGCGGCGGCACGTCCTGCGTCGCCCACTTGGACCTAGCGACACGACCTGCGTTGGTTCTGCCTGGGAAAAATGGACATTTCTGACTCGGAAGAACTTGCAGGCACAGCAGCCATGCTGACAAGTGCTCGGTCTTCTCGTGAAATCTGCAGCTGTGGGCCCGATCGTGCCACAGGAGTCCTTCACATGTCCCTATTGCATGTTTGCCTTGCTTTTAGCAGCTTCTTTCTTTCTGTTTTTCTGGGTATGTTTTGAATAAATGGCAGGCTGTATGTATGGAATCCAAGAGGTTTTCATGTGTCACTAAGTTAATAATATGCATATGCTTATTCCTCCTGTTCCCATTGTATTAAAACAAAGCAGTAGTGTTAATAAGTATATATTGTCCCAAAATAGCAAAAAAGCCCAAACTTTCATCATTTATCTTGAGAAGTTAGAAGACTGTAACTGGAGACACTAGTACTGGAGTATTGGAGTGCTGTTATTAGGTGCCTAATATACAGACATTATTAAACTAATCATATTCTAGTCTACTATAATAATAATAGATAAGTTATTAGAGTAATAGAGTACTATCAGGTCAATTAGTACTAGAGCACTAACTACTAGAGTACTAATAACTATTCAGGTTCATTTTATAAGCCAATAACATGAATGGGTGTAGCAAGTGAAAGGAGAGTAAACATAATCTGCGAAACCCTGAAATAAAGATGTTGTGCTCTGCAGGTAGCTGTAAGCTTTTTATTAATTGTCAGCGAGGAAGTAGAGCTTGAAATAGAGGCAAGAATTCATAGGGAGGACCGCGTGCCTGTTCTAGCAGACTGGCAGGATGCGGGAGCGGCTGTGCAAGCGTGTGGGGCTGACAGAGACAGAACTTTCCAGAAAACTCGTGTTTCCTCGGGTGCTCTCCCGAAATGGCTCGGCTTTCCCAGCGCCCCGCGAGGCTTCACGTGGTGTTTTTGCACCGTTTTCTCAGGCTGCTGTGTGCTCCGCGGTTTGCTGCGAGGGAGCTGTGGTGGTGCTGACCGAGCGAGGGCCCCGCCAGGCAGCTCCTCACGTGGCTGTCATGGCAGCGCCCTTGGTGTCCCTGCAGGAATGAGGAAAGTTCGGTGTTCGGCTGAACCATGTGAGAACCCAGGCAGGATTGTGCGCAGAGGTGGCTTTAGTATTGGCTGCTCCTGCGGAATAACCTTGCCTGTTAACTTCTGGCCTTCTCCAGAGCAGGGTCCATAGGTTTTGTCAGTTATCTCAGTGCCACCACTCGCATGAAGGGTGAGCATCTGAGTTTTGTTGAAGAATAATCAGTACTCGCTGCTCAGGGCTGCTTCTCTGTACCTTGGTGCGGACTTTCCTCCGCTTGTTCGTGATTATTGCATCATGACAGCCAGGAGTACACGGTGGATCATGTGTTGTGTTGACAACAAGCACATTGTGCTGGGCTTTACGAACATTTTTAGAGTTAACTTTGTGTAATGAAATCAGGTTTGCCACAGCATGACATTAGGACAGCAGTGCTATCCACATGGGCAGTGGTGAGCTAGGAGCACTGTGGGCAGCTTTAGTGCCTTCTTTACTTCAGTCTTTACTGGTAAGACCAAACCTCAGGAATCCCAGAACCTGGAGATCAGGAGAAATTCAGGAGAAAGAAAGCATTTCCTTTGCAGGAGTAGGATTGTATTAAAATCATTTAGGCAAACATGGCATCCACCACTCCATGGACCTGGAGAGGATCCCCTGACGTGTGCCAGGGAGCTTGCAGATGTCATTGCAAGGCCACCCCCTGTTGCCTTTGACAGGTCATGGCAATCAGGACAAGTGCCTGAGGACTGTAACAAAGCAAATGGCCCTCCAGCCTTCTCAGAGGGTAAGAAGGAGGAGCTGTGGAACTGCGGCACAGCCAGCCTCATCTCACTGCCTGGAAAAGTGAAGGAGCAGCTCATCCTGGGTGTCATCTCTAAGCATGTGGAGGACAGGCAGATGTGACAGGTGACAGGAGTCACCAAGGGGCAACCATCCTCAACCAGCCTGATAGCCTTGGGCAATGGTATGACTGACTGGATAGATGCAGTGGATGGTGTCTACCTTGACTTCAGCAAGGCTTGCATCACTGTCTCCCATATAATACATTCAGTCTCAGAAAGTGTGGGTTAGGTGAGTGAGGAATGAGGAGGATTGAGAATTGGCCTAATGGAAGAGCCTGGAGGGCTGTGATCGGTGGTGCGGAGTGTAGCTGGAGACTTGAAGCTAATGTTGTGTCCAGGATTGTGTAATGGGTCATTTTATTGTTCATTTTATTGTTCATTTTATTCATCAGTGACCTGGTGGAGGTACAGAGTGCAATCTCAGTAGATTTGCTATTGATACAGAGTTGAGAGGAGTATTCATAAACCAGAGGGGTGTGTTACACCAGGGCCTTTCAGAGAGCCTTGCATAGGCCCAACGGCTGGGCGAAGAGGAATCTCGTGGGCTTTAGTAAGGACGAATGCAGAGTCTTGCACCTGGGGAGAAGTAACACCAAGCACCAGGACAGGCTGGGGATTGACCTGCTGGAGGGTGTCTCTGCGGAGAAGAACGTGGGATTCCTGGTTACCCGGACACCAAATTGGCCATTAGACAACAGTGTAGCCTTATGGCTGAGAAGACAGGTGACATGGTGGTCCTCAAGGAAGAGCGTTGCCAGCAGGGTCAGGGAAGGTGATCTTTCCTGTCTACTTGGTTCTGGTGAGGTCATGTTTGGAGTACGGTGCCCAGTTTTGGGCTTCCCAGCATAAGAGGGACGTAGAAATGCTAGAGCAAGTCCAGATAAGGAGTGTGAGAATTATGATGGGGCTGGAACATCTTTCATCTGAGGAAGGGCTGGGAGAGCTGGAGCTGTTCAGCCTGGAGAAGACTGAGGAAGTGTCTGAAGGACACCTGGTGCACAGGGGATGGGGTCGCGCACTTTTCAGTGCCCCCCAGTGACAGGATGAGAGGCAGCAAGCTCAAGGAGCTCATGGGAAGCTCTGTCAGACATGTAGAAAATCTCCTATATTGGGAAGGTGACAGAGCACTGGAACAGGCTGCACATAGACTTTGTGTAGTCCTCACTGTATGTTCTCCAGAGCCCTCCAGACACAGTCCTGAGCAAGGTGTGCTAGTTGGCCCAGCTTGAGCAGGGGCCTGGAATAGATGCTGTCCTCTAGTCTCAACTGCTCTGTGATTCTGTTCAGGCTAAGAGGTGTCAGGATGTTAGTTTATTCCGTATACTCCTTAGCTTGTGCTGCTTTCGTGCATGGTCTTATACCATTCCGCCTGCACTGTACTCCCGTGGAATTGATGCTCACGCTGTCCCCTGCCTGGGGCATCTAGAGTTTGTTCGTGCTGCAGAGCACCATGAGGTCTGTTAGTGTAGTGCGGAGCTGTCCGTCTGCTGCCAGGTGTAAGCGGCCGTGTTACTCATTTTGAAACGTAAATACTTTTCTCTGAGAGACCTTTCTTATTGAGACCAATGGTAAATAAGAGTCAAGCCAGACTTCCACAGTTAATATCTGTGTGGGCCAAACATGGAAAGAAAATACTGCTTTTAAAGCAGATGGGTGAAGGGAAATGTTCTTTGAAAGTTTGTCTGGAAGGGCTAATAGTTTTGGTAACAATCAGTGTGATGGCTTAGCTCCAGAACTGACTTAGTCACAAGAGCATATTGAAAGTGTT